ACACGCTGCGGGTTGCGGGCCCCGCTGTGTCTTTAGAAGATTTTCCCCTGCCCACGTAAAAAAACCACCACACACACACACACACACACTAGCATTTATTAAAATATACTATGTAAAGACTAGTTGAATGTGGCGTTGCAGACGCTGTAAACTTTTAAACACACGTTTTTGGAAATGTCAGAATCTTCTGGCTGTGACGTCAAATGATACGTCATTCATTTGGAATCATGCACGGGAAGTAGTCTAATGGTGAATGACACACACGCACACACTAACAGTTACTAAAATACTGTATAGGAATTTAATTTTTTTCTTAAAAGTATTAGAAAATTATATGAAGATCCCAGAAATGACACACAGTTGTGTGTGTGTATATATATATATATATATATATATATATATATATATATGTGTGTGTGTGTGTGTGTGTGTGTGTGTGTGTATATTTGTTCCAACATTGCAAGGGCAGATGCCCCCCCCCTTTCTCCACCTGAATCCCGCCCCCAGTGTTCACTTCTACTTCTGCAATTTCTCTATTAATTGTTTTGTATGCGAATCTAACATTAAAAGGTAACTTTTTGTATGTTTATGTGAATAAGGTGTTAGTTAAGTTTTATACGATACGGGTCACGATCATTTGAAACTGGGTTTTATGCATACTTCTGTAAGAACGTAAAGGTGCGAAGTCACACAACGTTCATTCATTCTCTGGCATTATTCACAGTTTTGTTTTCTCTGAATTCATTTGAAATTCTTCGAGTACGGTAAGTTCCGAGGCGATACTGTTCGTAGGTTTTCGCAATTTTTTTTTAATACGATAATAATCCAACTCCTGTGAATCGTCCTAATCCCTATCAAACCTTACCTTCCTTATTCCTTCCCAATTCTTGCCGATAGGTAGATGGGGCAGGGCGCCACCTATCTGTGATTCCCTGATTTGACTGCGATTGACGTGATTTGACTGTCCAGCGACCCCTAGAGGGTGCTGGGTGCATAGGAGCTAGGAAACACGTTGCGTCTATACACGCAACATTTGTTTTTTAATTAACAGAAATTCCGTTTTTCTAAGTGTTTCCCCAATGTCCTAAAGGACGTGATAACGCGTTCCATTTCCGCGTTGGACAGATTCCGTTTCATGTTTTGTAAAATACCATTGAATTTCAATGCCAGAAAAATTTTCCGGGTAAGGCAGGTTCCGGCATGCACAGATTCCGGTTTAGACAAATTTTACTTTACTAAAAACAAAAGGGCTTTTCATTTCAATCGGTGTTAACAATTTTTAAAACAAAACATTTTAAACGTATAATAAAACGTAAATAATTGAATTCAAATAGTTTCAAATCACTGTTGTCATAAATTACTTCAATTCTTTTTCTAAATATCCAACGTTGACATTCCCTTATTAATTTGGCATTTCAATTTTTTTTATGTTTGCTGGTGGCAGAATCGGAAACTACTATTGTTTACATCAGGTCATCGCCTTCTAGACCTTCACCTGATATAAACATACAACAGTACACCCATCATAATTAGTAAACTACAAGTGAAGAAGTAATTCTCAACTCTACCTACTATTGAGATATCAAAACACATGTAGGCAGACTTCTCACAACAGCGATAGTTACTATCAATTCTCCAAGCTGCCAGTAACGACGCAATACAATGGATCTAAAAAAAGCATGCCTACCTGGTTTTCTCTCACCAATTAGTGGGTTGGATAAAATCATTCCGGTTTCAGTCATTCCATATCGCTCAAGAATACGATGTCCAGTGATTTCTTCCCATCGATTAAAAATAGGAAGCGGCAGGGGAGCAGAACCACTCACCATCAACCTTGAAGTCAAGTTCAAAACAGCCTTTTATTACTGAAAAATACTAGTTGAATTTTATTAATAACACAATTGAGCTCGCATTGTTGTGGTGAAGAGTGATCCGTCTTCAGCGGGGTTTTCCTGATTTCTTGGAATACAGCTGGCAAACAAATCGTTGTGTACCACTCAGAATTGACTGTTCTGCGTTTTTCTAGTAGTACGGTTGCGACGTGTCCAGCTTTTCCGGGAAAAAATCTATCGACCAATCGACACGAGCCTTGTTTTGAGCGATTGACAAATTGTGTGGCGAACAAATTTTTTTGACAGTCAAATGTTCATGCAATATTGACTGTATGCTAGTCTCACTAATGCCTAAGGTTGTCTCAATCTCACGATAGGTCACATGATCTTGCAATATTAGTTCACGCACAGAATCAATGATTTTCGGAACAACTCATTTTGGAGGACGTTCGCGAAATTCGTCTTGAAGTGAACTACGACCACGATTGAATTCACCATACCATCGGTCCTTGATGGAGCTTCATCGCCAAAAATTGAATTAAGTTCATCCATGCACTGTTGCTGAGTTAATCCGCGTCGAAAGTTGTAAAAAATAATCGCACGAAAATGTTCACGATTTAATTCCATTTTAGGGCCAAGATGAATCTTTTACGTTACTGTAAACAACACAAATAGCGCTCGTATGTCAAAACGTTCTGAGTACGTACGTCAAAACATTCAACTTTACGATAGAGCTCTCAGTTGCCAGATTGCAACACCAGGGTTGCCAAATCCCGAAACATAAAAGGCAACCTTCGTATGTGTGTGGGTGATGAGAATATGAATGGTTATATTTTGATTTCAGCCTCTTTCAAAAAGAAGATAAATCATGCACAGTCATAAGCTGTCAAGAATCCAATCAAATGTCTTAGTGCAAGTTTAGAAATTGCTGGATATTGTTTCTAAGCATTTAGGACGACACAAACGAGATATTTTGAAAAAGGATTTTAAAAGACGGGTCATATGATAGTTCCATTAACATGTCTTCATTTGATGGTACTTTCACGTACATTAGTGTTCATGGGAATTGGATTCTTCACCAGCAGTCTAAATCTACTTATACGAATTCTGTGGCCCATTTCCAGGCCGTTGCCCGCAGTTTGGGAAGCCAAAACCTATTAACTAAGAATTCTTGAAAATGGTATTCTATGATTGAAACTTAAGGTATTATATTGCATTTTGAAGGTATTAAAACTCGCATGAGCATTTTTGTTGCCAATTTTTAAAAAAGCCAGCGCTTACAATTAAATTTTATCAGAAAATGAATTCTAAACCAAATATGTAAATACTAGAAAAATTGGCGCCGCCGACGATGTGTACTGTTTTAAAAATAGTTTCATGGGTTGAAATTTTTTTTCATGCCCAGCTTTGATCAAATATGTTCTTTCAGTATCAGCTTAACAATTAATTAATGCATATGTTAATAAATGAATAAAATCTAAGTCACTATAACCCAATCCAATAGTTATACACCCAATGCCTTGTGTGTTACCTCCATACGGGGTATGATGTGGTCTAATTTTAGTACAACTACATTTTTACGCTCTTTTGTTAAAATGTACATAGCACATTTGCATTAGCACAAACAAAGATCATTCCCAATTAGTTCAGAATATTCTATTGCAACATCTTTTACAACTACATTTGAATCTTCCTCAAATGTCCTGAAGTTCCATATTTTTCTACCCTAATTTTCGAAGTGATTAAAACTTCACAAACTCAGTCTAATTTGTCTTCAATTCTACTTCTGCAATTGCTCTATTGTCTTGTATGCTAGTCTAACATTAAAAGGTGACTTTTTTGTATGTTTATGTGAATAAGGTGTTAATTAAGTTGAATAAGAATAAGTTATGGGTCACGATCAATTGAAAATCTGTATTTGCACACGTAAGAACGGAAAGGTGCGAAGTCACATAACGTTCATTCATTCTCTAGGATTACTCACAGTATTGTTTTCTCCATATTCACCTAAAATTCTTCGAGTACGAGTAAGTTCCGAGGCGATACTGTTCGTAGGTTTCCGCAAATATATAATACATACATATATATATATATATATATATATATATATATATATATATATTTAAATACGTTAATAATTCGACTCTACATTGAAATCAAACTGCAGAGCGATTTACTTGGTAATTCAATTGTTCACTTAAAGATGTCAACATCACTGTTGGTAACGTCGTGAAAGAAAATTATGGCGTGTTAAGCAAAAAATGCCTTTGGGTTCTTTTCCTACCAGTAACACTAAGATCGCAGCGCCAATGCACGAAAAAACAGTTTTTTCGAAATTCTTTTAAATCTTCCAGCGCGAACCGAAAACAAATTATCAGTTACCCATCTGGTGACCGACACGCGTCGAATGACACCGCATACGACTCTATTGGTGCGCGGGAAGTAGTCCAGCTGCCAGTGACGGAATAACAAAAACACACATCTGCACATGTGCACACTCAAGAGTTTTACTGAAATACTGTATAGTGATCAGAGAGAAATGATAAATTAAAGCAAACAACGTAGACACTAGATACCCATAGTGGCAAAGCTAGTTCAATTAAAGGAGATAACAGCTGAGTTTGTGAATAACAAAAAGGAAGAGCCATGTTATAGATCTGATGAAATTTAACATTTTTTACCACTCTTTTGAAAGCTTCTGACTTTTCTTGTAAATTCTATTGTTTTTATATATTTAGATAACATCAGTCACCTCTATATCACTTTTCTACTACTTTTATCTTTTTCTTCTGCAATTGTTAGACAGACAGCCTATTTTCTGCTATTTGATTGTGAGAACTTTGTGATATTTCCCTGGCTTCTAGATAATTGCAACATATCTTCAACTGAAACTCCATGTTAAACGTTCTATAATTTCTACCCTGAAGCATTTTCTTTCCTGTTAGCATTCTAATTAGTGTTGTTTTTTTTCAATAGAAATTAAAAATCAATTTTATGGCATCATCGATTTTTTTTCCTTAACTGAGAAAAGCAACTAGCCATTTGGTCAGTAATGAATCCTCATTTTCCGTTGTACTTCTTAACCAATGTAAGTTTCAGACTTGCAGCGATATTTCTGGCTTTCTTACCAGATAAAACAATACTTAAAATGTTTTGTTGTTGGAAAAAAAACAAACAATTATTTTGACAAAATTTCCCACTTTAGGGCGGTTTTGGATTTTTTTAAAACTAAAAGCAGATTGTACAAAAATTCAGGATTAAAGTATCAAAAAATTTCCGATGCAGTAGAACCCCGGTATTCCGAACGAATTGGGGGAGGGGGTGGGGTTCTGTTCGGATTATCCGAGAAAAAGTACCACACACATACAAATATGTCTATACGATTACGAGGGAAAAACGTAGCGTGCAATGTGAGAAAAATGGCAACGAAGGTTAGTGATCACATCGCCTCATCCAACAGATTCAGTTCCTTACAGCAAAATTTTATCGATTTTGCAAATTCTACGAAATGAAAACTATTGTTACAAAAACCTGTGATATACCCCAGCACAATAAACGTTTCATTTCAACAACTTGTGTTATAATTATTCGTTCGGTTCTAAAATAATTATAAAATCCGTTCTTTACACTACAAATAAGCATTTCGTTTATTTTATTTTTCCTTCATCCGTCCGTCCGTCCCTTTCTGTCAGCGTTTCCGCCTGCGCCTTGCTACCATCCCTGTCTTCGCCTCCACCCCGACCCTTGCCCCCCGTCATCGCTTCGGGACCTCGCCTGCGCCCCCGCCTCTGCCCTTGTCTCTGCCGTAACTTCTGCTCCGCACCTCCATTCCGGTCCAGCTCTCGCCTCCGCCCCTGTTCCACCTCTCTTCCGTCCTTGCCACCGCGGTAAATCTTGGCCGCATCTCCCCTCCATCCGCGTCCTAGAATCAGCCTCAGATATATACTCTCTGGCCTCAGCTTTCGTTTATCTCCACTTTCGCCCCTCCCTCCCCGTCCTCACCCACCTCCCAACTCTTACCTCCACCCTCACTTCTACACTCGTCTCTACCTTCACGTACTGCATGCAAATTCAGTGGTTTGGAGTTTATTTACAGAAAATGTTAACAAATAGCGGAAAACCTAGCGATTCAATAATATACCAGAGAATGTGTCAACCGAATATATTAACAAAAAATGTTAAAAACCCTAATAATTTTAAAAGTGGTAAATTATATAATATTGAAGTTATCTCAGTAGTTATTAGCTGTTAATGATAATTACTGATGAAATAAAAACACTTTTCTTTCAACACCACTATCAGTATCTCATATTTGTATATTAGGGCCGGTTTCACCAACAGCCGAGTAAAGTTCAGAGTAGTTACCCGAAAGTAACCATTTTATCCAAGATAGTAACTCTTGAGTATAATATAAGCGTTTCACCACGCTTCTAGAGGGTTATTTTACTCTATATTTGAGAGTGATTCAAGAGGCTGTGAGCGAGAATGACGCTGGGAACCAATGCGGACCAACGCGAACCTTTAATCAATTCCTTATATCCTATATTTCATTTCAGTTTCGGAGTACTTTGCGTTATAATCTGGTGTGGGGTTATGGTGGTTTAGTAGTTTAATAGTTTATTTCCTAGTATCTGTATCTTTATTTCTTCATAAATATTCATTCTTCTTCTCTGGAGTCGAGTTACTATTTTGTTAGCAATGCAGAAAAATCGAATTTGCAGTTCGTTTGCCGATGGCGGTGCAAATTAATTTTCTATAACTAGGGAACGAAAATGTTTAGTTTTTCAAATGTTGATCTCGTGTTTTTTTAAATTTTATTATTATATGTTGTTTTATTTTCATCTTTCAACTATTTCTGGTTAAAATGTTGGAAAGGGATTCTGGAACTCAAGAAAACGAGCACAAATGATGGCCCCCATACGTCACATACAGTTTTTACTGGATAAATTCATATTTCTTGGTACTTGTAGTTATTACTTTTCCTTTTGTTGTCTTATTCGGTACGTACTACCTTTATTTCGTATCCACACGGGACAAAAAGAACTTAAGAAGTTCTCTACAGCTGATTTGGTCAAACATAACCCCATGACAAAAATCTCGCTCGTCAAAATTAAAACCAATCCATTCTCTCTCGCACCCTTTGTCTTCGCACTAGGGGATAACATTCCGAATCATTGCTGGAATCGTCTTCAAATACTATCATTCGTAATCGTCGAACCGTAACAACACTTCGGAGGAACATGCACGTTGAAAACTGAATTTACTCCGTACTTTACCCGAAGGATTTTCGCGGTGTAAAGTTACTCTCGTGTAAGCGATTTACACTCTAGTAAAGTGTTGGTGAAACGCTGCAAGAAGTTACTCTCGAGTAAACATGATTTACTCAAGAGTAAACTCTTACTCTTTGTTTGGTGAAACCGGCCCTAAGAATGCAATCGAGTAAAATTTTCGAAATGAATACTTTACAATCAATAGAAACACGTATAACTTATTTGTTCGGTTTTGTCTCATTCTTGCTAACATTTTCAATGATTTTACTACACCACCCAATTTCTATGTATTTCTTTGGGCTCATTCTTCTTTAGACTTCCTGTTTTGGTGAGTTTTATATTGGTTTAAAATCTTCTTAGCATTTAATGACCCATCATCTATGTACATCTTTTTATTTTATTATTTACTAAAAATAACTTAAATAAATAATACGAAATAATACAGAACAAATTGCCCACTCCACTGGTGCTAAATAGTTGAACAACCTCAGTAGCTACAACATTCAATACAATAATGCAAACATTCATACAAAGACTATGCCCAAGAACAATCAAGGCATTACTCTATCAACAAATTACTTGGACTAACATACCTAATTTTTTGGGAGCAAGTTGCCCGAATATACTCTTTCATTCGCTCATTCTTTGCAAATATCTTGTCATATTCCTCGATCAACTTCATGTATATAGTAGGGACAGCCATAAAAACATTTACACGTTCTGTTTGGGCAACATTAACTGCCAATAGTTGACTCCACACTCGAGCAGATTCAAATTTAGGGAGCATCACACACCTAAAAAGACAGAAAATCATTAGTTTACATGTTTCAAATACAACTGGCATACTGGAGAGGGAATAAGAGACTAAGGAAATAAAGCAAAAGGCATCAAATTACTAATTCTTCAACCACTTGTTACGTTACGTTAAAGAATTGTCACACAGTTAAAATGTTTCAACTCTGATATACGAAGCAGTTAGTGAATATGGTGTGCTGTGTGGTGTATTATATATATTATACATATATATATATATATATATAGATATATATATATAATTTATATATATATAATGTATAAATAAGTAACAATTCATATATTAAATTATAAAGCGTAACTGATTTACAATAATCAATGAGCAAAAAATGATTGATGCATATAATTAAAATAAAGATATAGAATTTATTTTATTTTGACAAAAATAATAATATAGATCATCCAAAAAAATTAATTTCAGAACAATATTCATTCACTAGGTTCGCTATTCAGTTTTTCAGATCATGATGTAGGTGATTTTTGAAGAGTTCACCGAGTTCAGCAATCTCTGGGATCTCAGGCCAAGTTTTGAATAGACAAATTCAAATAGTTTTAGTATTTCTATAAAATTAATTTCACAATTAATAATCTTATAACCAAGGGTGCTACAAATGGTACAGACTTTCCCGTATTCGTTTACTATTACCTTTGGTTCGGCTACTTGCCACATTATCTTGCCTGCTGCTATTTTTCAGTGCCCAAAGTACAATTTCTTAATTTTTCGGATTCCTATATTATAACGGAAATATTTTTCATTACATTAAAAAACAGTAATATCTCGTCCTATTCCTCGACAATTTTCTTTAAAAAATTTGGAGCCAATTTTCAGAGAATGGCACTTCAGCGCTTCAGTAAATTCGAAAATTGGAGCACATAGTCATGGAAAATGTTTGAGTTTTTGATAAACTTTTGAAGTCATTTGAAGCACTTCAACTCACAAATACAATGGTGTTTACAAATTTCTAGAAATACGCATATCAAAACAGTGAGTAATCTTGTGAAAGTGACCCAAACCGTGAGTGGGGAAAAAAAAAAAAAAAAAAAAAAAATCATGTTAAAGAGTACAATTATGACTATCCGTTCAAAATTTTGAAGAAAAAATTTGAGAAAATTGCGTTTGAGCGCTTGCGAAAATGCGGAATTTTGATCTGGTTTTCCCCGAAAACGGTTGAGTTTTCGATAAACTTTATATGAAAAGTCCATGTACTTATAAATACAAGAATGTGAACAAAATGTCTCTCATGTTAATATTTATATTAGCGGCAAGTCAAAACTAGTGGTGCTACAAATTGCAGACTTCCCCGAATTATATTTCTATTTCTTTTGTCTCTGCAAGCTATTCAGACTTTTCGTATACTCTTCCCAGCAGTCACCTACCACCGCCCTAAGTCCATTTTTTTGAAATTTTGTCAATTTTTCGGCTTCCTAAGAGTAGACCGGAAAAAATATTTTAAAAACATTAAAGAAAAATAAAATCTTGTCATAAATAGCAATTTTCTTTGCAAAATGTAGAGCAGTTTTTAAGAAAATGGCGTTTAAACCCTACTGTAAATTCGAAATATGAAGCTCTTTTTCACAGAAAGGTTTCGAGTTTTCGAAAAACTTTATAAGAAGTCATTTAACGCAAATTAAGTCACAAATACAATGGTGTTTACAAATTGGTTGAAATGTGCATATTATCGGCGTGAGAGATCTAAAAATAATTACATTTGTATAATTTTAGAAATAACAAATTTATAAAATTAGCAATATATAAAAAATATTACATGACCATAATGAAAGAACTATGGACAACAATTAATTTGAATTTGAAGGGAGAGCCTCCATCTTCAATTTTGTAGTTTTAGAAAACGTCAAAAAAAATCCATACTTTTGAAATTTTGTAAACTTTAGAGTTAACCGTGAAAGTCGGATCTATGCCACCTATAAAAGTGCCATGTTTTCTATTCCTACAACAAAAATAGAGGGGGGAAATGAAGCTCTCCTTGAGAAAATTTTAAAATGTCCGAAGGAATTCATCCACCAAATTTTAAACATATTTTTCAAAAGCTCAAAGCTTCGACTCGAGCCAGATGAACAGGGGTTTCTTCAATTTGGGAAAAATCCTACGCATAAATTATGCGCTAGTAGTGCTGACAGACGGGCGGACGTTTTGCCGTCAATTGCTTTTTCGGTGTCAATGACCCACAAAACGGATTCTGGGTATACCACGTGTTAGAAGATTTTGTTTCTTAATTTAACAACTGGAGTTCTCAACTTTTTCAATATCAGGGCCCGACAATGAATATGTTTCAGTCGAAAGTCCGCCGTTTTTTCGCGCAGCGTTACAGAACTTTCCCTACACCACGTGTATTACTCCGCATATACGAATGTATACGAGAAAGTAAAAACGGCTCCGTTTTAATTGAATTTTATTGTTCGATAGTATGAAGATCATTTATATGAGAATGGTTCAAGTCTCATTTTCGTTGAAAACCCTGATTTTTCGAAAGTTGCAAAAATTCCAAACTCTACGTTTTAGTTTCCCCTCCAGCAAAATTTATATTTGTATTGTAGCCATCAAATTTCAGCTTTGCTGAAAATCTAATTTATATCGGAGATAAGATTTTCTAGTTGTTTTTGGAGGTTTTTCAATTGTTCTAAGTACACCGAGGGAAGTGTAAGAACTCTTGCAAGAAATGTGCCGCTCGATGCGAATGAACCACGCATAAATTACGCGCACGGTACCGATCCTTAAAAAGCGCGCGAATGTCTGCTTCAGGGATAATGACCTGTTATTTTGCAGTGTTTTTTACGTTTACTACTTTTCAACATTAAGAATTAATTCCTCGTTGTACATTTTACTCAAAATACTGTAAATATATAACAATTTTGTATTATATATTTTTTATTACAATATACTGTCAATTGCAGTAAATTAGTAATTGACAGCCATACCAATTCCTGAACAATAAATATTCTAATGTATTGTAACCATATGTATAAACATCAAAATATAAAATATTAAATATATTTACTCAAAAAATGGAATATCTTTAAAAATTACAGATGTTTTAATAAAGCATTACACAAAGACCGTTGGCGAATATATAAAATCTACAAAGGTTACCAGTCATCCAAGTGGCGTGAATGAGCACGTGAATTATTTAAAATACGTAATTCATATACAGTATTTAAATACTACTCAACCCTCATTACAAATCGTACATTTAGTGCAAAAACTAAATATTATCAAGCAAATTAGACTATTATAACAGATTTTCATACAGGGATTAATCCATTTTAAGTGGTCTAGTACTGGTCGCTCGACCACCTCCGGGAGAAAAAAAATACTTTTTACATAAATTCCCTTATGTTTTGGCTGTTCAAAAACTTTTTTATTGTTTTTTATTGCGTCATTTTTCGCGTTTGTAGACCTTTACTCTTCTCTAAATTACTCAGTGTTGTTCTAGCATTTTATAATAAATGACATTGGATTCAGTATACTCCGGCCTACAAATAGAAATATTATTTACATACCTCATGCGTTTCTATTTGGAAAATCTAATGAACGCGAATGAAAAAATATTTTCAGAGAATAATTTCTCAGAGAAGGAATACAATCACAGCCGAAATTTTTTATGCGTGTTCACACATAATAGTACAGTTACTTTTTGTAAAGTATCAATGGTAAGCAAATTTATTACCATTTGAAAATTACATACTCCTAAAAATTGGAATTTTCATTTTATTTCCACATTTTGAACAGCAATATCAGTTGGGAGTCGAGATAAAAATCTGAAAATTGCACAGGTACTATATCGCTATGACACCAAACTTCAGTTAAAATATCAACTTTTAGATTAAGCTCAATTTTTTGTTAATTGTCAACTTACGTAAAATAAGGCTTCATTTCTACATAGGGGATAATTAGTGACAGGTAGTAATATTATTCTGAAGCTACATTAAACTAAAATCTACACTGATTGAAAAGATTTAATTACACTTTATTATTAATAAACGTTGCAACAATTTATTAATAATGTTTTCCCTAATTTATAATTTTTAATATTACTTTATTTTACTTTAATGAAAATTATTAGTAATTGAAAATAAGGACATCTTGATGTTACAAGTTAAACCGGCTAATATAAAAATAGTTTATAAAATATAAAAAATAATAACTCCAGCGTTTTGCTTATTTTTTCGCATTTAAAATCGCCAATTTGTTTATTTCTGAACGTTTCATCAGCGATATGGATTGTCGCTGAGTATTTCTTACATGCAAAAATTGCCACTGAGTTAAGAAACAATACAAGAGAATCAGAGGATATTCGGTCAGAATGTGCCTTCGAAGCTACTGCGAAACTTGACCCCGCACCTCTTATCTCATCTGAGAACATCAACAACTTGAGGTTCGTGCATCAGACAGAACCAACGCGATGAGCCGAGGATTAACACGCTTTTGAGATCGCTCAGGCTCCTATAGTGTGTATGAATTTGTGGCTTCATTATTGCCTTCCCTTTCCATCAAAACGTGTAGCAGGTGTTTCTGAGGCTTTTTGTACAGTTGTGTGACCGTTGATCAAAATGGAGTTTCAGTGTTGTATAGGTGAATTTACTAATGAAGTTTGCCATAAAACTGTGTATGGGGTTTTTCCAAAGGACATGAAGTCAATTAAAGATTTTGGTGAAGAAAAAGTGTGGTTTTCGTTAACAATAAACTCTAATCTGCTTGTAAGTACCACGAGATATAATACTTTAAAAAATTCCATCTCTATGGTCAGCCTTGCTCACATCCTTGCAAAATTCATAAAAATACTATAACAAAAATTTGATAGAAATAACTTTGGCTCATCATTAAAAAAATAAAAATGTTTCGATCAATCTCATGCCAGGAAAATCCTTGTGTCCAACATGTTTTTGAAAATTTTTATTACTCACAATAGAGAGGAGATGAAAATTCAGATAAAGAATTCAGTGTTTCTTCAGAAACAATGAA